ATCAGCACGTCCCTCTCGCAGCAGCTCGCGAGCGTCCCCCCGCTGGCGCATGTGCAACATCCTGTGCCGCCCAAAATGGAGCGCTTCTTGAGCTCGCTCTGGGGGCTGTCGCCGAAGATAGTGGTGGTCACCGAACAGGAGTCGAACCACAACGGAGCCACGATGAACGAGAGGTTCGTCGAGGCGCTCAACTTCTACGCGACGTTGTTCGACTGTTTGGAGTTGACGGTGCCGAGGGGGTCGACGGAGAGGATGAGGGTCGAGAAGCTGCTGCTGGGGGAGGAGATCAAGAACATTATAGCCTGCGAGGGGGTGGAGAGGAGAGAGCGGCACGAGAAGCTCGAGAGATGGGTGCAGAGGTTTGAGGCTGCTGGGTTCGGGAGGGTGCCGCTGAGTTATTACGGGCTGCTTCAGGCGAGGAGAATGCTGCAGAGCTTTGGATGCGACGCTTACAAGGTTAAGGAGGAAGGGGGTTGTTTCTTCATGTGTTGGCAGGATAGAGCTCTGTTCTCCGTCTCAGCTTGGAGATGCAGGAGGTATGACTGAATATTTTTCGGGTTAGTTTTGTTTGGTTGTGTGTAAAGTTTTGTTTGGGTTTTTGAATGAAGGAACAGTGTTTCGTTTGGATGATGATATCGGTTGCTTTTTTATGTCAACTAGTACATCTGTTTATTGATCAATTAATAAGTGTCGCGACGTGTAAATTATGGGACTAAGGTATGTGTGTTTGATCAATTTGGAGAGTGCTGTGTAACATGTAAATTGTACTACGGGACTAGCTAGGGTATTATTCTGATGCTACATGGGGTTATCACTCCCCCCGCATCGTCTTTCGATTATCGTTGGCGATTGTTGGGGTCTCTCCAAGTCATTCGGAAGTCGTTCTGGCAACATCTTTGTGCGCATAACTTAGCTCGGTTTGCTTATAAATACAAATGCACTTCGTTTTTGGACGCAAATGATGGTCCATACCGGTCTCTGTACTCAAATTATTCTTGACGCAATGTAATGGAATTGTCCGTTTCCTCCAAAAAGAAGGTACATGTCGTGTGCGAACTCTGTGTCACATCAATAAATTTCCACATATACAATCATGTGACAAGTAAGTAGGGATTGATGTATATATTCTTCAAGATGTTCCTTGGTGTGTTACTAATACGACACATTTACATAATTTGTGGTCTTGATCATCACGACACACCAATCATATATGATGATTCTATGCCACATTAGCAAAATACCGGACAAGAGTGTGTAAGGACACGTGGTCTCCATTTATTTGTAGTTGCTTAAAAAAGTACGCCAACTATAATTAGTTTGAGAAAAATTATTATAAAAGCATGTAGGAACTACATATATAGCGGTTTTAATGAGGAAAAAGAAAACGTTAGAGTAATTATCTTGTTAAAGTTGCTTGTTTTGATCGATAGTTCAACTTTTGAAAGGACGAGGTAGAATCACTAGAAGTTAGATTTACAAGTTTCTTTGAAAATGAAAGGAAATAATTGCATTTGCTTCATCTTTTTCACCGTTACCCTAAGCCATTAGCATTGTTGAACAGTGATTCGTTTTGTTTGTTTATATATGTCACTAACCTTTTGTTTCTTTGTTTAAGCGAAGCTTATAGTGTTAATATTCATGTCTTCTAGCCTACTTGCTTCTTTTGTAGAACACATATGTTTATGGCTGGACTACCCCAGCTTTAATTTTATTCCTTAAGGGCATCATATAGATGGAATACCAACTGTTGAAGAATAACTACAAGCTATAAAATTGTTAAGTACTGCAGGGGCAAGGCACATTTCTTAGTCTATGATTTTGGAAGCTCTTAGTTTGAATCGCTGTGATTTGGAAGTATCAGTAAAGATAAGGAATAATCTAGGATTATATGGTCTCTCTTAGATTCATGGGATAGGCGTCAATTTGGAATAGTAATGCTTGATGAGATCTAAGAGAAGTTTAAGTTTACAATGTAAAACTGTCTCTTGTGTTGTTTTTGGAGAAAAAAAGAGGAGGGATAGTGAGTGAAGTGGAAATGCTTGAAAGCTCATTGCCATAGATTGTTGAAGTGCACTATTAGGAGATGAAATTCTCTTTTTAGAAGACTAGTACAATGCACATGCTTTGCACGCGAGCATGCATGTTTTGTTTTATGTTTTTCAATTTTTTTTTACTGCAAAATACTAAAATGACTTGTATAACAATATAAATTCTGAACAATTATAATTTTTTAAATGAATAAATTGTACGATAAAATTGTGTATAAAGAACTATATGATTAATTATTATAGCTTGGATAATTATTATAATTTATTCATAATTTATTAAAATAATTATAATATATTAAATAACTAATCTTCTATTAAATATAATAATATTATACATAGCATAAATATAATACTATTAGTGACTACATTTTAATTTCATAATTAATTTATTACACTATTAGTAAATAATTTACTAAATTGTATAATTATTAAATTACAATGCAATTTATTAAGCTAAAAAAATACTATTAAAATCACTATACTATTAATACTATTACGATTACAATAAATACAAATTGTTTTTCATACTATTATCATACTTTTAAAAAGTTAATAAGACATAAAACATAAGTCTAATGAATGTTTATTATTTTTAATTTTTCTAGGATTTTAAATATTATGTGAAGATAAATTAGGGATAATTTTCAAACATTCTATTAAACAACATAATTAGATAATAAAATAATTGTGTGACCAAAGGTTTTAAAAAAGTGAGGAAATGTATAATTAATAAGAGGTTATATACATTTAGTGAATGATTAAGTACAACTAATGCCATATATGAGAATTATCAAACTTAAAAGGGCAAAAATGGAAATCAATAGTTTTGACAAGGCAATCTCTTTTATATGTAGTATAGATTGTTATGACGTTCACTCACCCAAGATACAGTATTTGCAAAATGATACGATAAGAGTCCTAGTCAACTCTCAAGAGTTCTAGGCATTCAACTCCTAAGTCGAATAATAAGCCTTTGGCTCTTTATCAAGATAAGACCAATGCAAAATATTTGGTCAAATCCTCCGGAACAACTCGACCATCATGGCTAGATTACAAGACCTTGGTACCTTATCAAGGAATAAACCCAGGGCACGATTACAGAGGCCTCGGCCCCACCAACTCATCAAGCCGACACTCTGGTATCGACACAAGAGGCGATACTAGCCGATACGAGAGATCATGTCATCCTAGACGATTCGACCTCTTTATATTGACTCGAAAGACGGTTACTAGCTGAGACAAGACAACATTTCAACAGTCGAACATGCTGGCACTCCTAAGTCGACGGGAAAGGGGGTGTCAGTCGACCCTATTATCAAAGATGACCCTATTCAGGGCACTCGATCACTCACTAGGTATTTCTCAGAAATGTCTTGAGGGACATTCCCTGTTGTTGACTAAGTTGAGAACTCGACCCTGGTCTCAAGCCTCTCCCCAAAAACATATGTCGACATCTCAGTCCACCTCGGACAAGCCTTATCTAGATTTTAGCCTGATAAGTCTTCATGACTAGTCAACTCAATCACTTCTCTGGGAAGGTGGAAGCACACCCTCCTATAAATGAAGTGATTTATCCTCCAGTTGTCAGTCGACACCTGTAAAGTGTGGGACGATTCTGTCAAGGGGGACAATCCTGTTTTTAGCCCACTTGGCCACTTGATATAAGGAGAAGGGAGGCTGGCGAGAAGAGGGGCGACTCCTCTCCTAAAGAAATGAAAGAAAAACTCTCACTCATGAGAACACGAGTTCCTTTTTGTCCATGCAGTGTGGACACCAAACCCTTGTTCAAGAACTAGATATAAAGTCGGAGAAGGAAGCGGCCCCTCCATCTTCCCTCATCACCCCGCAACAATCCTTTTCTGGATTAACAGTCTGTTTGATATTGAGCATCAACATAGATGTAGGTTAAGTAAGACATAAAAATTTCTCTTCTTTACTTGATGGCCTCTGTTAAAATTAATATAAAACTATTATCCTTGATCCTTACTATAACTTTAAAGTTTTGATGTAGTGGTTAGATGGACTTAACTTTAAGATGGTATTAGAACAACACTGGTTCAAATTCCACTGGCCATGAATTTAAAGCAGAGTTTTAAAAAATGGAGACCGCCTCTCGACTTGCGGTGGCATGTTATAATAAATATAAAACTATAATCCTTATTCCTCACTATAACTTTTGGTCTAATTGTTAGTCTAATTGTTAGAATATGGTCATAAATCCAAGAAATCCTGATTTTTCTAAAATTCTTATTTTAGTTTGATATCTAGAAATGTAGAATGGTCGGTGCATGGTGTAACACATAAACATTTATATTAACTTCTTTATCCATTGCTCCACCACAGCAAGCCTTAACCCTTGAGCAAACTCTACCATCAACCTCCTCATACAGCTTCGACCTTGCCCATTCGACAAACAAATCTACCCGAACCCGCATCCCTGTGACCATACCTCAACCCTCGACACCCACAACACAATGACCGATGGATGTTGTACATCATCGAACCCAACCAGTAACCCTCACGTCATCATCACTACGACACTGGGCAATTGAAGCCCCAACTGTTCCTTTTCTCCTTGCCCACCGCTGTACGCAAATCCGTTCGCTTTAGCGCCACCTTCCGAGACTTCCTGACCTTTGAAGATGCCCGCCAACTGTTCGATAATAAAATGCTCGACTCAAATGCAAATTTAAATCACGTGGCCTCGAGGAACAACCCCCTGTCCTGCAACTCCTGCCAACGTCCTTACAGTGGCTAACAACCTCGTTGAGCACCGCTAAATGCGATCTACACGGACTACCCCCATCAGACCTCACTCTTCACTCACCGATCTGTCGGTGAAACCTCTTACCCTTTGCCCTTTTGCGGTCATTGACCTCCAAAGCTTGCAAACCAGCTCACCTATACCTTGCCCATCTCCAGTGGCTACCCAACAACGACAACCACAACCACAACCGTCATCAACCTTGATGTTCGTGCAATGCCCATCGATGATGTTGCACACAACGCGTTTGATGGAATGCCCCACGGATCTCTTACAGCGATGTTGCCGCTATCAATTACATGCGGCCTCCACCTTGCATCCTTTGTCCACGCCCTCAACAGGCAAGCTCCACCTCAACGCTTGTGATTACAGCCACCCGTGTCAATATGCTCCTATTCAACCATATCTAGTTGACCCACACCAACAACCTTCTGCACAAACCTTGGCTCATCTTATCCAAACTCTCTGTTCTCTACCCACTGTGACTAAGACAAGAGATGTTTAATATAGTAGTTAGGATATCTTATTTTTATTTATTTTAGTACTACTGTGTCCTGCTTTATATCCCTTGTTATCCTTGGAATAAGAAAATATACCTAGTTTTTTTTCTTTTTTTAAATAAAGAAAACATATCAAGTTGATACAAAGATTAACAAAATATGTCTATCTCGTAAATTTGCCCTTCTTTCAGTTAATATGAAGAAATGTTCATCTCTCTATTTACTATCATTTCTCTTCTCTAAAAAGCTATAATGTTTTGCACCTAATATTAACAATAATTTTCTTTCTATTTAAATAAGCATTATACTCGTGCTCACACA